TCATTTAATCTTTGTCAGATTCTCAAAAACATACACTCACATAACTTATGGAGCAAAGTAGAACAAATTAAGAAGTATGAGCTTTTCTTCCATAGCAATTCACTCAAGCTAATGTCTGAAAAGTTCTCATATGTTCAATTTACTCTTGTTAGAAAATGCAAGTTATATTATTTGGAACAGTGTCTTTTTCTAATGCCAATATGTGATGAAGGGGCTTCAACACAATTAGAAATTGTATATTCCATTAAATTAGACCAAAAATTATTGTTAAGCCAAGTATTAAATTACTGCAGCCTTTGAAAGGAAAAAAAATCCTCTTTGGGAAACAATAAATGTGAGATTATTTAAGGATCTTCACATACACACCCACAAACAAGTTGATTTGTTGATAGAACCAAGAAAACAAATACGTTATTGAGAAGACATGGTCTGTGGAGTCTATAACTGCCTAACTATAACAAAGAATTGTAAATTTTTATTGCATTCACCCTTTCTCACAGCTAATATTCCTAGATACAGAATCTTTCATTATTTGCTATCATTCATCCATGTATCACTTGTACAAAAGTAACCAAATCATGTAGAAGTAGATTTCTTGTTTAATTCTCTGCACATTATCTGTAAATGTATCTGCTCCAGAAATAACAATCTCTGGCTAGTAATTGGGTACCTTTAACATCATCTACTTTGGGGATGTCAGTTCAGCAGAAGCAATCATCTTGAATGAACCATCTTTCTCCTCTATCACCCTTTGTTCTAAGAAAGGGACGTTACAAAATCCGTTGACAATTCTCTCTCTTCAAAACATATTTTTCCCCTCATGTAAGTACAGTTATTCTGAGAAATTTCTGACTTGTGTTGCTGACCAGGTTACGAAGGAAGAGTTGGAGTTGGTGCAAAGTTGAGGTACAAAGTTCACTAGCAAATGAAGTTGAGGTACAAAGTTCACTAGAGGAAAGGGAAGGGAAGGGAAAGAAAGGAGGGAAGGGACGGAGTAAAGGAAAGAAGGAAAGGTAAGGAAAAGAAAGAAAGGAAGGAAAGGAAAGGAAACTGTATATCAGCTGCTTAGAAGACACAATGCTTTGGGGTAATAAAAATATTGCTTCACCTGGAAATTGGGAAGAAGATGACAGGGAAGATGAAGCCAAATTAATTATACTGCAGTACAGCAACCCCCAACCTTTTGGGCACCAGGGACTGGTTCTATGGAGAGAGTGTTTTCCATGGACCAGAAGGGGCGTGGCTTCATGTGCTGCCTGGATCCTGTGGATGGGTCTTTGCTTGTTTGCGTGGACCATTTTCTGGCATACCATGGATTGATGCCAGTCCACAGACCAGAGGTTGCTGAAGTATATTGAAAAAGTTAGGTATTAATCAGACCAAGTTCTTATGTGTTACCTTTGAGAAATGCCAGATGACTAGAGGGAAGCTTCAAAAAAAGGGGAGGGGGATCATCAAATTGCAAACTTGTCAGACGCCTGGCTCACCTTGGTTATAGTGTTTATGAAAAAGATCTTGGAATTGGAATTGTAAACTGAATATAAGTCAACAAAGTGATGTGACTGCAAAAAAAACAATTGCAATTTTAGGCTGTATTAACCTAAGTATAATTTACAAATCACATGTCTGTTTGGCTTGACCCCTCACCTTCAGCATTTTTTGTAATACTAATCATAGCTTTAATTTTAAAAAAATCAAAAAAATCAAACCAGAAACAGGCAACAAAGATGATCAAGGAACTGGAATCTAATCCCTGCAAAGCGACACTAAAGAAGTTGAGTATGTGTAACCTTGAAAAAAAGATGAGCTATGTTGCATTCTTCTAATTCCGAAACACTATCACAGAGAATAAAACCAAGTTTCTAGTTTTAAGGAAGAATAAAATTTATCTCGTATAGTAACAAAACGCCACCAAGCTGAGGGAGAACTAAAAGAGAAAATATTATAGTGAGGGGCCCTTAGTGCTTTCTGAGCTTACTTGTTTTCTTGCAGGCGTTTCATTACCCTCGGAGAGCAACAAGGACCCCTCATTTCAATCCTGAGCTACAAATATTCTCTTTTATAGCAGTGGTCACCAACTGGTGGTCTGTAAACTACAGGTGGTCTGCGAGAAAATTTTGGTGGTCCACAGAAAAAGCCTCTGGGCACTGGCACATGGCCTTGCAGTCCTGCAGGTCTTCCCTCTGCTTGGAAAGCCTTGGAAAGCCTCTGCTTGTAGTCCTCGATTAGGTGCTTCTGCTGAGCCTCCTTCTTGGTCAGATCCAATTTGAACTGAGCCAGCTATTTGCCAAATCTTTCTCATGGAGACTGCTTAGCTCCAGCAACTCCTTCCTGTTGGGGCCCTAAGGAGCCCAGGTGGGTAGCTGAGGAGTGGCGAGTAGAGGCTGTCAAGGCGCCCCTCAATGTGAGTGACATCAAATTGGCCATGCCCACTCAGTCACATGACCACCTTGCCACGCCCACCCCTCCGGTCATTAGGCAGATTATATTAGTGGCCCGCGGGATTTAAAATTATGAATTTAGTGGCCCTGAAGTCCAAAAGGTTGGTGACCCATGTATTATAGCATCAATGGAAACTTCTCCCCAAAGTAATAGCAACTTCAGAGAGGATGTTTTTATGTGGATCACTTCTTGAATAGAGGAAGGGGTTAGAAAAAGTCTCCCTCATTATTATAATTTCAATCCTAATTTCTCCTCACCAATTTATGTGATTCAATTTAGAAGAAAAAATATGGTAGATACATTTTTTTAATATCATAGCAGTTTGAAACTATTCTTAACAACTTAAAAAATAAATCTGTTCTCTTCCTGGCAGACCCAATCAGGGAGACTTAACAGGAGTTTGTGAAATTTAAGGGGCAAAGATGTAATAAATCATTCCGATTAGATGACAGTGTGGACAGAGAGAAAGAGAAGAAATAAAAAGTATTTTTTTTATTAATGGTGCCTTAAAAACAGAAGTGAAAATAAAAAGCCATGACTGCAGATAGTAATTATATGTATGAACTGGAACTGTATTTGATCATCCACAGCATTACTCAGAGGTGTGACATAGCACTAAAAAAAGCAAATGCCATTTTAGGTTGTATCAAAAGAACTGTTAACATCAAAATCACAGGAAATAATAAGTCCACCTTATTATGCATTAGTCAGTCCCATTTTGAACCCTTCCTATCTTCGGTTCTCTGCATTACCTTAAGAAAAATGCAGAGAAATTGGATCAATTGAAAAAGGTAAAACTGAGAGAATGGATAAAGGTTTTCAAGTCTCTAGACCAGTATCACACAGAAGGTCAATATCTTTTTCTTAACCACAGAGTGCGGAAGAGGGATTGACCTAAATTACAAGAAAACCTCTTGTTGTTGAAAATTAGAGGGGTGGGTGGGAAAGCCCAGACGTTTGGATAGTGAAATCGATTTGTTACTGAGGAAAGTGTAAAATCTCTTCCTGGGATGAAAATCATGCCCTACCTATACTTAACAATATCACCGGCACAATCCTTTTCTTCCCAAGACTCTGTGATATTGCCTTCATCTCACTAGCCCATGATTTATGCAAATGTAACTTAACCATACTTATATCAGTGTTAGAATAGTATTTTTCTTCCTTATTCAAGCTATTATTTAAGGATAGATTTTAAAATGTATTCGTTTTTGTCATTTGTTATCTTAAAGCCGGGTAATGTAACAGGAGCAAGAAAAGTTAGATACAGATTGGCAATGAAGACATGACATTTCATGCTGAAACAGTTTTGTGCCATTTCCAGGATAGGGGAATAGCATTATGACTTGCTAGTGGAGAAAATTTATTTTCAGTCAGAGACTGGAAAATTATCTATTGGATATGCTTCATTTTGGATTTCTGGATTGAACAGCAGGTTAGATTTGATGGCCTAAATAGCTTGCTTCATCTCTCTGATTCTATTTCTGACTGTAAAACAAGAAAAATCGAGAATTGTCTAGGCTGGAGTGGATGTAATGTAATATGCTTATGTTTGAATCTACTGATGACCAAAATTATTGGGATTTTTTAAGCTTTAAGTTATTAAAAATATCAGTCAAATTCTTATATTGGTTAAAATGTCAACATTTGAAAATATATTTAACACTTCTCCATCACACACACACACACACACACACANCAGCCGACTAATCTGTGTACATCAACACCATCAACTAATCAAGATGTAACAACACAGCGAACCAGCCCACTTACAGCAACAAAGCCAGCACTCCACACCCTCCCACCAATATTTATAGAAAGATGGCAGCACCGATCACGCTTTGCTCGCAACAAGCACGAAGCCGAAGGCACCAGCCTGAAGATGGCGAGTGGGACCTCATTGAAACATTGCCAAGATACTCTCAATCTTACACGGGAAAAGACCTGAATACGCCAAGACCTGCATACATACATACTGCTTTGTTCGCTAAGCTGAGGTAAGACAAACGCTGGGCTGCTGTTAAGCTCTTTATTAACAAATGAACACTAGGAACAACAAGCGACAACAGGGGCTGTCTGACAGCTATTTATATGACAGCTATCAGATGGGTAGCCAATCCGAGGGCTGTAATTTCCGCGCCTGCCAACAGGCGCGCTTGAACCAATAAGGGAAGTCCCAGTTTGTTCTGCCCGACTCCGGTCATAAGTCCAAGGACTTGACAGACACATACATACATACATACATACATACATACATACGCACGCACGCACGCACGCACACACTGCAAAAACTGCATTTTCTGACTGCATTTGACTGCATTTTTTTTTATCACAGTTTGACTGCCACCTTGATACTTTTGACCAAGCTCTCCAGACATAATTGTTTGGGCGTGTTTTTCTTTATTATTCTGAAAGGCAATATACTTGTACTGGTACAACATACTGTAAATAGAAATGGCACAAAAATAATCTCTCACTTACTTGCAGTATAATTTTAAGTATGCCATATACTTAGGCATTACTCTGGTTCAACATGTCACAATAATGAGTATACTTACCATGTCTGTCAAAGAGTGGGATGCCTGGACGAAAACTGATACAATCTGGAAGGAATAAAGACGTGTAAAGACCACATTCCTGAAAAGACTAGCTGTGACAAATTTGGTTTTGATTCAAAAATTAAGCACCTTAGTACTCCCAAAAAGAATGGTATCCTTGGCACACGGGATTCGGTTTTGATCCCAGTTAGTAGCATTTTCAAAATTTGTATTTGGAATCCACTGTTTGTACACAGCAACTGAAGAGCCTGAGGGGGAAAGAAAAATAACTATAATACCCACAAGCTTTGACTGGGGAGATATGACCACAGAAAAATGGGATGTCACTTTAATAAATGGTGTGTGTGTGTGTGTGTGTGTGTGTGTGTTTTACCATTTACCCAATTATTAAAATATATTTATACAAACACACCAATATATTTTAATTGTGTGTGTGTGTGTGTGTTTACTAAGCCACTATAAAAATGAAGTAGTTGTGTGTTAGGAATGTAATCTAACAGTTGGGTTGGCAATATATAAACCATGATAGTAACAATTACAAAAATAAACAGCTGTCTGTATATAGTATTGCAT